CCCTTGTTTGATTGCTTTTTCTTGGCTTTCTTTGCATTCTTTAATATTTTTTTTTATTTCTTGAACTTTTTTGTTTTCTTTTCCTCCATTTCCTGTATTCTTTGTTTTACATTTCTTTAAGGTATTTTCTCATTGCCTCTTTAATGGTCTCTAACATCTTAATAAAGTCGTTTTTAAGGTCCTTCTCTTCTGCTTCATCTGCATTGGGATGTTCAGGTCTTGCTGGTGTAGAGTCCCTTTGTTTTGGTGGCATCATATTGGTCTTTCTGTTGTTGAGTGTGTTCTTACACTGTTGTCTTCCCATCCCTTCTTCATGTAGGTGCAGGTGTGGTCTCTCCCTCTCCTCTAGTCTCCCAGTGGCATAGGTGGGCAAGTCTTCAATGTAGGCAACTCTGGATGGTCTGACCTCTCCTGGTGTTTTCTTCACTCAAGCAGAAGGTGTAGTGGAGCCAAGACTCAAGTGGAGCACAGAGGGTGTATGGCATAGGGCACAGGGTGGGGCAGGGGCCACAAGACAGAGATGTGACCAGACTCTGGGTGGTCCTTCCTGCTGGGACACGTCCATGGAGCAGATCCAGCAGTTGCAAGCAGGGGATGGCAGGATTTGGGCCCCAGCAGAGGCCACTCTCACCTCTATACTCATATTTTTAAAACCTCAATGTTACTGTATTGAGGGTAGAATGAATGCTGAATTGAAAAATTGAACTGATTGCTGTAAATTTATATCAAAATATACAAATATTTATAAAGCAGTACTGTAGCTTTTGAAGAATAGTTATTAATTAGATTCATGTTTGTGGTTTAGTTTACAAGCTTGAAGTATATGTTGGGCATGGTAGTTGTCATTTAGAAAAATCTGGGAGATCATAGACCCCAGACAAGTAGATAGGAAACCAGCATAGGACTTATCCAGACCCCCTGAATGTGGGTGTCAGTGAGGAGTCCTATGCAATCTATGGGGCCTCTGGTAATAGATCAGTATTTATCCCTAGCATACGAGTGGACTTTGGGAGCACATTCCACATAGATGGATACTCTCTTGGCCTAGTCACATGGGGGTGGGCCCAGGTCTTGCCCCAAATGATATGACAGACACTGAAGATTCCTCCATGGAAGGCCTCACCCTCCCTGGGGGAGCAAAAGGGGGATGGGGTAGGGGACTAGTGGGGGGCAGGGGAGGAATGGAGGGAGAGGGAACTGGGATTGACACATAAAACAAGCTTGTTTCTAATTTAAAGAAGAAAAATTTGGTATCAATTAAGTATCTCTGTATTAGGATTAAGCATCCTTTGTATATATGCCCAAGGGCAACTATAGCTGGGTCTTGAGATAAATCTATTCCCAGCATCCCTTGGTACTGCCTCATTGCTTTCCTTAGGAACAGTACAATGTATAAAGTATTGGTGGGACTTTGAATTTCCACCAGCAATGGAAGAATATTCATTTGAACTTTACATCACCACTACCGTGAGCTACAATTTTGTTCAATTTATCTGGTGTCTATGTCATTCACGCCACCATACACATATACTCCAGGATAAACATATAAAACATAATATGTGACGCTATCACCCACCTATGAAAGTAAAATGCATGACATTGTTTCTTCTGTCATAAGTGACACTACTCAGTATAACTTTTTATTTTTATATTTTGGCCAGTTACATTCATTTGGGTGCAAAGGTCACAGTTTAATTTTCTTTTATAACTGAGTAATATTAAATTATGTATATGTTTGGCATTTTCATTAACCAGAAAGCTAAATAAATTTCATATGCTACCAACAGCAATGAGGTGGCAATAAACATGGATGTGCAGGTGTCTTTGTAGTAGGTTATGAAGTACTTTTGTGTATATCCATGGTCAGTCTTTTTTCTTTTTTTGTCCATTTTCAGTGCTGATCTCTATAGGCACTATGTGCCCTTGTACTCCTACTAGGAGTGTAGGGAAGTATCTCTTTCCCCAAGTCAATTCAGCATTTGCTGCTATTTCCTTTCCTGATGATTGACCCCCTAACTATGGTGAGATGAATTCTCAGAGTAGTTTTAATCTGCACTTACATAATGGCTGAGGATGATGAATGTCTTCTATAAAGAATTCACTAACAATATGTTTCTTTCTTTTGAGAACTCTCTGCTCATCCAATATATATATTTTTAATTGACTTATTTGTCTTCTTGGTGCTTAATGTTTGCTTTTCTCATTTTAAATATTCTAGACCCTTTCTCTGACTCATGGATATTGGGCATCTATTACACCAACAATTACCTCCCATTATCATCTTGGTTTCAAGTTACAACCGATTCCAATTATTAGTTAATAAATGAGGACATGATGAATATCCTTGAGTGTACTAAAAAGTCTTTGGCAAAAGAGTCACATGTAAATTGTTCCTCTAAATAGAGGTCCTTTTACATGTAGATAAACTTCTCAATCTAAAAATTTGGGTATAATTTAACAAAAGGGAGAAAATATCTATCAACTAAAAGAATTAAAGGAGGGAAGGTGATGATCATGAGTCAGCTTCAGAAATAAATTAGAGATGGCTGGGGAAAAAGTAAACAGTGTTTCAATGAATGAACCCACCACCCTAAGAATAATAAAGCCAGCAGAGGGTACTGTGACCCTTCTCAGAAATCTCAGAGACTCAAGAGTTCAAATTTACCAGACCCTACACAGCTGCTCATGGCACATTACAGTGTTACAGCAGCTGTTTCCTTCTGGGGGAATCCACAGCACAGAGCCCCTGGTATCCCTGGATCTGCATCTCACAGTGTAACTGCTCTGAGAGCTGAGGACCAGGTGGTTGAAGACTGTTAACAATTCATGTTTACATAACTCACAGCAGAAAGAGCTCACAGGGAGGAGCATTCTTGGTGGTAAGAGGTACAGAATAACACACAGTATAGCAGATTCACACAACCTAGAAAGTAGTCTATGGATGCTTCAATAGATTAAGAGGTCTCCCCATAGCATAAACAAACCTCCATCCTCCTAAGTGAACATCAGCACTAGGACTGAGGGAGGAGCAAAGGCCATTATAGATCGAAACCCATTATCAGGAAAGCCTCTGTATCTGGCATGAGGTTGGGATACAATGAGACCTGAGGCAGGGACACCCCATGGTAAGGGTGAGGAACTGTGTCCCCCATGCTGTGGACTGTGCCCTTCTTCCTGATCTCTCCTCAATTCACAGATAGGAATGTGCATCAGCAGGTCTCAGTTCCTACTCAGCTTTATCCATCTTGGCCAGAAATTCGTGGGAAAGTCTACTCTGGTCTCTACTGCATTTATCTTCATACTATTGACAGGTTCCCTCTGCTTATCTTTGCTGACTCAGCTGGAGCATTTGCCTCACTGACCTGAAGGCAGAGCAGTGGCTTCAGTGTGGGAGCTCTGCTTCTCTGCTTCCAAGAGAATTCCAGACTTTTCAGAAATTTTCTGCAGGACCACACAGACTTAAATCTGTCTCATGGCTCTGGGGCCTCAGCCATTTGTTTGTGTCCAAAGATTCCTTAGACATTACAAGGGTGTTGCTCACAATTAGAATGCAAACTGTGGATAAGGCTGATTATGCTGGTGACAAACTTATCTTAATGCAACCCGTAAAATTTCGTTACAATGTTTTTGTGAATTAAAAGGAGGGCAGAATAACTTGGGCTCCCCTGCCCTTTGTCTCTTGACTTTCCTTCCTTGACAAACTTCCTAGGGGTCATCCAGGCTTAGCTTGTCCTATAACAAAAGTAACACCAGGGATTCCCAAGAAGGCACAGGGAGACTTGGAATCAGTTCAGGGGCTCAGGTCATTTTTTTCTGAGGTCATTATCATGAGTGTCTACTAGGGTCAGAAAAGTTAATATGACCAATAGAAGTTAGACATGATTAGTCACAAAGCATAGGCCACACTGTATTTCTTCAAGCCCAAGGGCTACATGAGACATTCCCTTTTCCTTGCTGTCAAGCTCATCACTGTCACTAACTTTGTGACACATCTGTGTCCATGTTTTATTTGCTAAAGTACTATGCAAAGTAAGTCACAGATCCTGAGACCTTTGCAAGCTCCCACTCTCCTCTCTACCTCCCCACTGCTCAGATATACTTCCTTTCACAGAAACGTCTGGATCATCTCAGGCCCAAAGCTGGTAGAAATTTCTGTATCAAGGCTTAGCTAGAAGCATTATTTTTCTATCCAGTAAATGTTGTCACAGAATGGGGTCAGTGCCTTTCTGTGACCACACCCAAGTCTAAAATCTGACTCTTAAATCACTATGCTCTGGAAGCTCTGTCATCTCCATGTTTTGTTGGCACTCAGTCTTCTCCTGTTGTAACTCCCAGTAGTCATCTTCCTTCTTGATTTATCTATGAGTTTCCACTCCACATACTAATTTCTTCACTCCATAAGAAAGTTAGCTTTGCCTTTCATGGGAAGAACCATTTATCTGTTTCTCTGTTCACCAGTGAGACCTTTTGTAAAGAGGCATCATGGGGATTTGGTATTGCAGATTTAGAATCATTATAGTATACACAATCATCTTCCACGAGGTGAAAAGTGTGATGAAGAAACAGATGAACTTCAATTCACTTTTCCATCCTACCTTTACTTATTTTGAGCTCTTTCAAATACTTTAGTTGTTTCTCCTTAGTCATCCCTTTATATTTTCCTGCATATTGCAATGATTCTCACTCTCTGTAAGGTAAGACTTGGTGGAGCAAGTTTGGCCCTGATGAAGACCCTCTAGGACATTAGACAGAAGATACATTTGGCTCTAGAAGAACAAAAGCAGCTGAACAATTATGCTCCTGACCTTTGTTCTTATTAATATGTGGTCAGTAACTTGTGTCAGTGCAATAAGTTTCACCTGACAGCATATAATCAGTCTGGAAGAGGAGTTCATTTGCATTAATGTACACACCCCCTCCCGTGTTAGGAGTTACAGTGAGTACTGTGTCCCTGCCTTGAGCTAAGCCATCTTGTAAAGAACAGACCTGGACTGTGAGTCATGTCGTGGGCTTCTCTTGTGATCATACTTCTGGCACACTGCACAGGTCAGGGGCCCTTTCTAGGCTGCAGGGGTATGCAACAGTGCAACCTGTGTCTTCTTTGTTACTAACCATCTGTTTTCTCAACTATTTTGCAGGGGCCATTTCACAGGTTTTTGTGATTCAGGAATCTTCACTCACCACATCTCCTGGAGGGACAGTCACATTCACCTGTGGCTCAAGAACTGGGGCAGTTACCACCAGTAATTATGCCAACTGGGTCCAAGAAAAATATCACCAAGTACACACTGATCTGATAGCTGCTACCAGCAGAAGAGCCTCAGGAATTCCTGCCCGATTCTCAGGCTCAGTGCTTGGAGACAAGGCTGCCCTCACCATCACAGGGGCCCAACCTGAGGATGAAGCTGTGTATTACTGTTCTCTGTGGAATGGTGATCATTTCCACAACAATACACGCAGATGGGGAAGTAGAACACAAACCCACTGGTGCAGCCTTATACCTGCTGTCTTCTTACCATATGGCTACATCTCCGTAGGCTCAGAGTGCATGATCTCTATTACTGTAGAGAAGATCATGAAGGCTATTGTCTAAAGCTACAAAATGCTTTATTTCAACACAGTTTATGATAATGATACTGTTGTGACAAGCCTTAGATGGCAACTTGACACAACATGGAATCTCCTGAGACATGAATCTTATTCTGGAGTCAAATATTTTGGGATGATCTGAGGAATTGTTTTAATTATTCAATGTCACAATTGTTGAGGCAGACTGCTTTGAACTGTATAGCATTGAAGTTGTTCTGAGTATGGGCCAGCAAATTCTCTTGTTCACTAACTGTGTGTGCTTGATGTGACAATATTCTATTTTTTCATCTTTTTTGAATTATTTATTTTACGTATCATTCACTGTTTTCACTCCCTCCTCTAATCCCCCTCACTATCCCATACATCACCCCTACTCCCCTCATCTACTCCTCCTTTTTCTCTATTAAGATGGATTAAGGCCGGGTGGTGGTGGCGCACACCTTTAATCCCAGCACTCGGGAGGCAGAGGCAGGTGGATATCTGTGAGTTCGAGGCCAGGCTGGACCGACAGCTTCCAAAACAATACAAAGAAACCCTGTCTCATAAAACCAAAAAAAAAAAAGATGGATTAAGGTCTCTATGGGATTCAACAAAGCATGGAACATCAAGCTGAGGCAGGACCAAGCTCTTCCACCCTGTATCAAGGCTGAACAAGGCATCCCACCATAGTGAGTAGGTTCCAAAGAGCCAGATCATGCATCAGGAACAGGTCCAGGTATCACTGCTAGGTGGCACACAGAAAACTGAGCTATACAGTTGTCTCCCAGATGCAGAGGATCTGCGTCAGACCCATGCTGGCTCCCTAGCTGTCCATTTGGAATCTGTGAGCTCCCATGAGCTCAGGTCAGCTGTCTCTGTGGGATTCTCTGGATGTGACCAGGTTCTAAAGATTCTTTTGCCGTGAGTTCCCTACAATAATGAACTGTAATGGGTAAATACACTGTGAAGTTCGATCTCAGCTAACATGATAAACCACTTTCCTTCTTGAGTCTGGGGAAAAAGGGTAGAGGCCTTACTATCCAGATGTTCTTGCTCTGCCATGTCTCAGGACTATTTCCAGCAGACTCCAGCTGTTTCTAAGAATCTAAATATGCATATGAAATATAGGCACCCTGCTCTCCTTTGAATTGTGGCCTGATGGGGGATGTTAGAATATTACATTCAAGTCGGCACTGTTCTCTCAAATACCGGAATATCATTCTCTGCTTGGTGCATTTGCTGACAGAAAATGATTCTGCGAAGCTCTATGTCTGAGACGAATTCCATGTCAGGCAGGGCATAAGGTCCCTAAACCAGTGGTCTCCTGTTCCTGGGCTGCAAATAGAACCTGTGCTGAGTCTGTCCCTATTTATGCATGGTGGTGTGACCAGGACCAAATGCAAGGCCAAGTTCCTGGTGACCAACCCTGTTTCCTAAGAACTCTCACAAAAAAGTAAAATCATTCTGTAGTATTGTGTTGCCTTTGTTGTCTCTGGTTCCTTTTGGCAGGCTTCAGTGAGACAGATAGCCTAGTATCAGTAATCAGTATCCCTTTTCCTGTGTCCAGTGCTGCCCTGACATGCCATAAGAGTGTTGGCCATGGCTGTGAAACAGGTAGGATCCTGAATCCTACAGAAGAGAGTGGTTTTTTTGTTTGTTTGATTTTTGTATAGCACAATGTCGTTTTGCAATCATAGTGAGTTTCCAGAGAATAGAAAGTGTATGCTGTGGAGGCCAAGTTCCTTGGAGGTCACAATCAGTCATTCAAGATGCAGTGTTGCTGATCCCCATTAACCCCATGCTGATGTTTTCCAGATGTTTTTATAGGGTGCAATAGATTTTCATGTCCTTCCTTTTGAGGTATTCATTTTTACTAGGTGGAGGAATTTGCAACCTAATGTTTTAGAACTTAACCAAAGCATGAGTTCTGGAATGGGCAACTACCTCTATTACCACAGATAATATCCAGGCTACCATCTTATTATAAAGGGAGACATTTTATTTTTTCACAATTAAAATAAATAATAATTGTAGATTAGTACACCTCTATTTTCTTGGAAAGGAGGGCATCATTTACTGTGAAAGTGGAATTTAAAGGAAGGCTTGTGTCATCTGTTGACTATAAATTTTTTCCAACTAAAAAATTTAGTTCTGATTTTTGTTACCTTATAATATTTGTTCACTATTAAAGTGAGAGATAATGAAAAATTTCACTGAGAAATTTTATTCGCTGTTTCCAACAAATAACAATGACAAAGAATCAAACAATGAAAACCTTTACACCTACGCTATAGTCTACAACAAAAATTTGCAAAGATGAATGAAAAGAGGGAGGTTCATCGAGTGTCGGTGGGCTTGCATGATAGTGAAGCTCCTCCGTAAATCAGTATGGAAATTTCTCAAAAGATCCTAGATGAGATATAGAATATTACTGAGTTTTATAAATCCCTGGTCTATGCCAGAATAACTTTTGATATCCCACTACAGGTGTACTTCTTGTTAAGTCATGTTCCTTACCATTTTATTCACAATAGCTATTCATTCAATTAGGTAATGCATGGTGAAAATGTGGTATAAGTATATAATTCTTTTTAGATATAAGAAAAATGAAACAAATTGATGGAATTGAAAAAGACTATACATAGTGAAGACACCCAGGCTCAGAAAGACAAATGTCTTCTGTTTCCTTTGATTATCTGAATGATTTACCTTGAGTATCCATAGAAGCCAGGAAGGTAGAAAGGGTGCATAGTGGGAGGAATGTACTATGAAGGGAAATATAAAAGTGGGGGGGGCTTGACTAAGGAAGAGGAAGTGAGTATTGCAGAGAGAAGGAAAGGGAGGTAACAATACATAGAGGGAAGGAAGAGGGAGAGCAAGGCACAGCGAGAAAGGAACATAGCTAATATTAAGGATGTTTGAGAATTTACAGCAAAATATATGATTATATATATATATATTTACTTAAAAACACATAGTGGCAGTGAAGGTACTCCACATAGTGGGATGATGCACCACATGGACCAGTAGATTTGCTAAAAGCACCCAGTAGTAGACATGGAAAGCTTCCACTTGAGTTGTTAGTGATTGCAGGTGACCTCAAAAGCAATAGAAGCTAATGTCATTGCTTCATTGCTTTTGATTACCTGCTAAATCATCAGGGTGAGATTCTCTTGCTGTAGACTACCATACTCTATTGTCATCAAAGTGTCATTGATATGGAAGATGCCTCCCTTAGAGAGAGTCCTCATAAATGTGCGAGGTGCTATGCAAAATAACTGTTATCAATTGCCCTATCCAGAAGAAAACGTTTAAAACTACACAACAGGCATAGCAAGCCATCCCTAACAGTGCTATAGAGGCACACGCATCTTGGGGACAGCCAACCACTACCTAACTGGACCTAAAATTAACTCAACTTCAGGGAACTCATGCATTGTATCATAACCCAGGCAAGGACCCATGGCTGTACTCATATTAGGTTCTTGAGGAAAATCTGCAAATACCTATCATATTATGAAGTTTTTATTTTTTCTCTATGTTTTGTTTTTGAGAAACATTAGAAAGCTTTCATAGTAGAGGAAATATAGCTTACAGTGGGAGTTTGAAAGTGTTCCTACGATTTAATTTCAGTGATTCAGTTATATCTAGAATTTTTACCAATTTCTGTTACATTTTCTACTTTAATAGAGTTTACAATCTTTTTCTTTAAACTTGTGATTTTTAAAAGTTATTTCTTGAGGACATAATCACATTTCCCCTTTCCCATTATTTTTCCTCAAACCTCCAATATATGCCACCCTACTCTCTTGCTAACCATAGCTGCTCCTCTCATTATTTCATACATATACGTATATGCATACATATCCCCATATACATAGATAGAACCTGCTCAGTCTATATAATATTACTTGAATGCATGCTTTCATGGGTGAGCATCTAATAGTGGACCACCAGTGAGTGAGTTCTTCCATGGGAAAGACTAGCTCCCCCACTCTCAACATTCTTCAGTTGAGATAGTTCTTCATTTAGGATTAAGGCCTCAGGCTTTTCTTAGTGCATGCAGGTTGCTTTGAATTTATGGGAATTGGTTCTGATATTACTAGGAGACACAATCTCACAGTAAACTCCCTGATTCTCAGGCTGGTGTCTTCTAATTCCATCTATTTGCCTGTGATTTTCAAGATGTCATTTTTTTTTACCACTTAGTAGTACACCATTCTGTATGTATACCATTTCTTTATGCACTCTTCAATTGAGGGGCATCTAGCTTGCTTCCAGGTCCTGGCCATTACAAATAATGCTGCCATAGACATAGTTGAACAGATATCTTTGTGGTGTCAGTATGCATCCTTTGGGTATATGCCTAAGTGTGGAATTGCTGGGTCTTCAGGTAGAATGATCCTCATTATTCTGAAAAACTGAAATAATGATATCCAAAGTGGCTGTACAAGTTTGTATTCCCACCAAGAATGGAAGAGTGTTCCCCTTTCTCCATATCACCTCCAGAATAAGCTGTCATTGGTATTTTTGATTTTAGCCATTGTAACAGGATTAAGATAGTATCTCAGAGTTGTATTGATTTGTATTTCCCTGGATGTTGATCAAGACTTTAAGTGCCTTTTGGCCATGTAGCCCATTTTTAAAATGTATTATTTGGTGTTTTGGTGACTATTTTCTTGTGTTCTTTGTATATTTTGGAAATAAGCCCTCTGTTAGATGTGGGGTTGGTGGTGATGATATTTTCCCATTCTGTAGGCTGCCTTTTTATCTGATTGGCTGTGTCCTTTGCCTTACAGAAGCTTCTATGTTTCAGAGGGTCCTATTTATCAATTGTCAATCTCAGTGTCTGGGCTACTGGTGTTGTGATTAGGAAGTTGTGTTCTGTGCCAATGCATTCAAGAAGTTCAGTGTGACTGGATTTATGTTGATGTCTTTGATCCATTTGGACTTAAATTTTGTGTATCACAATATATATGTATCTATCTTCTACATGTCAGCATCCAGTTATGCAAGCTCCATTTG